AAATAAATAAATAAATAAATAAAATTTAAAAAAAATAAATAAATAAAAGCACTTGGACGAAGGGAAGAACTAGGACATTGTCTGTAGTGGACTACACAGTACAACTGTGACTCAGAAACTAGGCCAGAGATTGTTTGTGCCAGAAATGCCCCCACAGTTATAGTCTCCATTTTCTGATGCCCGTTGGGGAGCGAAGGGCAGGAATAGAATACAGAAAAATGTGCAAAGAACTTGTGTTTGTAATCTGCTTCACTATTACAAGTTCCAGTCTGAATCATTCATCTCTAAAGAGAGATAGATGTCCTTCGCAAGTCAACTCACAGAGTGGCTTGAGAATCGGAAGAGTGCTTCACAAACCTGCATCACAACTACTGGTTGTGTTCAATTAAGCTAAGATTTTACTGGGAGAGTGGGAGTAAATTCCAAGCTAGCTTTTTCCCTTTCTAAATAGACATGTTTCTTAATACTTTCTTTAAAAATTTTTTTTAAGTATTTATACATTTATTTATTTACTTATTAATAGAGGGTGTCACTATGCAGCATGGACTTGTAGTAATCCTCCCATCTCAGCCTCATCAGTGCTGGTATTACAGGCATGCTCCACCACACCCAGCTTTGGTACTGGGGATCAAGCCCAGGTCCTTGCACTTGCCAGGCAAGCACTTAGACCACTGAGCTATCTTCCCAGCCCTACTTTGTTTTCTGAATACATGCTAAAATACACTAAGTATGATATTTTTATCCAGTTCAAATGCAAACTTAAATTAATTTGTTTTCAAAATTGCATTTCCCTACTAACCCCAAACAATGGGTATATTAAAAATCAATCTCCTAAGAAACTACAATAACTGACCCGTAATGTGGACCGATGAGAGTCCAGAGCCGAGAGATCTGCTGGTACTGCTTCTTCTTGACTCAGCTTGATTTCATAACCTTTGACCAGGAGTTCAGCATCCTGTATGTTACGCACTATAATATCTACTGTTTTTAATCTGTGGAGATAAAAATCACCCTTTTTCATTAGCATGCAAATTTTAAGACTTCAATTTATATACCAGAATGTTATAGTGGTACACAAAACATAACTTACTAAATCAGTCTGTTCATTATTTGGTTAATGAGAAGGTTTACGAAAACATCTTGCAAAAAGAGACAAAAATCTCTCCTTGATCCTGCGACCAAATTATGATAATTCAAAATGAAGTTATAAGTGGGCCTGGGACACACATGTGAGGTGGACTCACAGAGAGAAGGCACAAGGCCAGAAATTCCCATGATGCCAAAAAGTGCTCCAGATCTTCTCCTCAAAGTCATGATTGGAGATAGGTGGGTAGGAGGAAGATATTGAAACACTAACATCTAGGTTAGCTGCAAACTTTTGTTTTCAATGTTTTGTCCCTTTCCCTTTGTCTTAATGCTTTGAGAGTTATTTTCAGAGGTATCTACTCAAACCAAAATAAGGTACAAAATAGTTCTAACCCTGCAAATGAATTCCTCATTCATAACACTGGCATCTGTTCAATGTGGTCCAAAGCAACACACTCCATATTTCTAGGAAGTAAAGTCAAGATTTCTTGCCATAGGCAAATGCTCTGCATGATCTGCAATCTTAGCTGGCCATGGTGGCTCCTGCTTTTTTAATCCCAGCACTCTAGGAGGCTGAGGCAGGAAGACTGCAAGAATGA